ACCTAAAGATGGGAAATATGTGTCCTTAGCCATATCACTCATACCCTTCTTGCTTACTCCTTTATGTTTGGACTTTGTAGACTTGTCTGCCAAGACATAGTGGTAGGATTTTGCACGGATGTGGTAAGATTCAGTAATTACATTTCCAGGAGTCTCATCCTTGAAAAGCCCGATAGTCTTGGTATCATTAAGGTCAAAGAGATCTGGACGCTCTGCCATATCCTTGTAAATATCTTCTGTCTCGACATGGTAGATAAAGGAGTCAGTATCCATATATCCAAGTCGTACTTTGTTTTCATACTTCTCTTTGACAAAACCATACCAGAAGCGATACATTAAGAGTTTACTGAGACCAAGGACAGATGCACCGATAATGATAGGTTTATTGAGAATAACACTAGCCTTACCCATATGTGCTCCTACAAGTATGTTGCCAAGTTGACGAGCATACTTGAAGGAGGGCTTGCGAACTTTCTTAAGGAATTTCTTCTCATCATTTTCATTGATCATTCTCATAAGCTTGACATCCTGATACTTACGTACATTCTCCATAGTCTTGCCATAGAATGAGTTATTCATGAGTTTAAAGAAGTCTTTCTCAAATGAATTCTTGGATTGTTGACGTAAATTTGTATTTTTTGCAATATAAGGAGCTAACCAGTTATCTTGATCAAATGATAGGACTTGTGTAATCTCATCTACAACCATGCCTAACTTAATGTAATACTGGAGCTCTTGGTAATGTATGACATAATCTTCATGTTTACCAAGATGTGGAACTAACTTATCTGTTTCAGGAAATCGCCCTCCATCTAAGTTATCAACAAGTTTGGTTATATATGGGATTAACCTATCCTTTTTTACAGCTATACTATCAACTGCAGGAGGTAAATCTTATAGATAATCATGAGTCCTAAGGGGGTAGTGCGCTTTGATATTTAGGAAGTAACCAAAGGCAGCATCTGGTTTTGTATTAAGAATTACATTAAGTATCTGCTTCTGCTTATCTGGATTCTGTTTGAAATATTCTGGAGATGCTTCCCATCTGTAATTACCAATAGGTAAGTACTGGCTCATAGCCCATCCATACAGATTGTTTGCATCTAAATAGGAAATCCAGGTAGTAGGTTTAGAGGGATTAAAAGAGTCACCCATCTTAGGGTTATTGGCTTTTAGAAAACGGTGTCCAGCCATAGCTATTCCTCCACGTTTAGCCTTTTCAGTAAAATCATGCATGGTCATGTCAGTGAATAGCTCTATTTTGACTCCAGTCATCTTAAGCATGCCATCCCATGAAAGTGCTGGAGCAGAGACATAATGACTTGGGTCAAGTCCATAAAGATGCATCGCTGTCTGTCGAAACTTTGTCCAGACATCTGCTAGGAGAAGAACATCAGTCTTAAGATAAAGGTCATGATACTCGCCAAAGTTATTGCAGCCAAATTCCTTCCAAACTTTTTGTGCATGTTTGTAATTATCCTGAGTGATCTTTCCTCCAAGAGTACTATGAAAGTCATGAATAGATGGGAGTTCTGTCTCCTTGAAACGATCATGTGAATCAATATATTCATAAGGATAAACCCCCTTACGTGTGATTAAGTAAATATGTTCAGACGAGAAGTTTTTGAAGTGTCGCTTTGTGAGGGGTTTATCTGTCCCTAAATTCTTTGCAAGGTTTGCAAGACTGGAGGCCATGAACTGCATGCTATCAATGTACTTGAATTGCCCTACCTTCATGGATTTGTAACGTTCGAATGTCTCTGCAATAACTTTGATTTGATATGCTCCAATTGATCGTAAAACAGATTCACAAACTAAATGGAAGTCATAGCCACAGAAGTTATGAAATACTACAGGAATTGGAGTCTTCCATGCTTCAATTTGAAGCTTAAGATTGCATGCATTATGAGCAGCCCCACGAAACTTACCTGTGATGTGGCAGTGATCCCAAACTTTTTTGTCTTACAAGCCCTGATTGAAATTCCCATTACATATCCAACAACTAACTGCTTCAGTGAATTCCTTTTTAGCTTCCTCTGTTAAAATACGTTATACTTTTACTTCTAAAACATCATTAATCCTTATTAATTCTTTATCAAGTCTGCTGACAAACTCTTCTGTTGCATTTGGTCCTCGGTATAAGAATGGCCCCCATGTCTCATCAGTTTCAATCCAGTGGACCATATAGCAGAAGCTATTAGCCTTTTGCTCCATAATCTTATGCATATTTTCACCATAGTTTTCATTACACTTTCTGTTATCAGCCTCAAAGTCTGCAATAATTACACATGGAGCATACATTGTTCGGTTAAAATTCTTAAACTCCTCAAAATCATTCTTACCTTTAACTGGTAACTCAACTCTTTGTGGTGACTCACCTAATCCAAAACACCATTCCTGATGATTAGTTAAAGATTTAGACAATGGAAAGCTTTGGAAGCACCGATTGCAAAGATGCTTCTTTACCTTGTGGAATGTATCTTTGTATATTAAAGCATCAGGATTCTTAATACAAAGGAAGTGATTCTTCTGACCATACTTACCTTCATCTGATTTTGTAATATCTGTAAGGGCCATAAGGTGAATGATATGTTGACGGTTGTAATTATTACTTGCAATAACAGGTTTTGGAATACCAGTTTTCTCCTCCCATTCCCATACATTAATGGAGATCTCAGGATTGAGGTCCTCAATCTTGCTAAATATGCGTGGAAAAACAGGAGTGGGCATGGGAATTGCATTGAGATTGACTTGTTCCAAGTATAGCTTAAATTTTTCTGCCTGAAAGATTCGCTCAAGTTTTTGTGTATGCCCATCTTTATATGCAAAGTAAGCACCTAAAGCCCCTTGCAAACATTTTTCAGAGAGCAAGCCTGTGTCCGGATCTAAGAGATCTTTGTTATCCGGATTGATAGTGCACTTCTTATTTGCAAGTGCCTTAGGTGTAAGAATGTATGAGCCTCCTTCTGCTCGGCGGTAAGTATACGTCTCAATAGTTAATATATCTATACTAACAATTTTCCAACCAGACCCTCCTTTCATAAATTTGACAATTTTATCCGTGATATCCACTGCTGATTTTGTTAAATGATAATCTATATCATTCTTTAAAAGAAGTACACGCATGACTCCTCTATGATAAACTTGTTTATTTGTTCCACTATTATATGTATATGTAGCCAATATAGTGATAGCTGATTTGATTTGCCCTTTTTCTTCAAGTTCACTCTCAAGAATTTCTGTTATTTTCTGACGGGTATCAGCTATTAAACTTGGAAAATATGGTATATCTCTAACATTTGGTTTAAGATCAACTTGCCATACTGTCTTATGTTTTAGAGATTTATGTGAACGTGCAGGATCATGAACTCTTTTTACAAATTGAATATCACACCATCTTCATCTATAATCTCCTTGCATATAAGCAAACCATTCATTATCTGTTTGGGGAGCTCTTCTTTTTCGTGGAGTATATTGATTGTAATCACCAGGTTCTGCTAACCATTTTGCTAGTTCATCAATTGTTAAGTTAGGAGTTTTCTCTGCATGAGCTGGGATAACTTCAGGTGTGGGATCCTGGAGTTGCTCCGGTTGTGATTGCAATTGTACAATTTCAGGTGTGGGATCCTGGAATTGCTCCAGTTGTGGTTGCAATTGTACAATCTCAGGTGTGGGATCCTGAGGTTTAGCTGCAGGCTTGCATAGAAACTTTCTATTTTGATGCCCACGAAGCTTTTGTGGAGTTGCAAAAGCCTTTCCACATCTATCACAAGTTCAATTGCTTGTTGCCATACTGGTTGTGTACTAATAACCTAAAAATTTTTTTCTTCAATTAATAAATTCTAAAATGTTTCCCATCTTATTACTATCAAAATCGGTATGAAAATAGGCTTCGACAAAGAATCAGAGCAATTTATGATTAGGGTTAAATTTTGGTTAGACTTCATTGTTCCAGATTTTTTCATATTGCAGGGGAAGCTTTACAATATGTCTAGTTGTCTTCCTGCTGTATATTTTTTGGTTAGACCTTGGTCAGATTTTTGGTTAGACTTTTGGTTAGACCTGTTGTCCCAGATTTTTTCGTATTGCAAGGAAAGCTTTACAATATATCTAGTTACCTTCCAGCTATACATTTTTTGGTTAGACCTGAGTCGGATTTTTGGTTAGACTTCGCTGTCCCAGATTTTTTCGTATAGGAAGAAAAGCTTTAAAACATATCTAGTTGCCTTCCTGCTATACATTTTTGGTTAGACCTGGGTTAGATTTTTGGTTAGACTTCGCTGTCCCAGATTTTTTCATATAGCAGGAAAAGCTTTACAATATGTCTAGTTGCCTTCCTGTTAAAAATTTTTGGTTAGAGCATGAATGGCTTAAATCATCGAATGAATCCATTTTAGAGTATCATAAAAATAGTATGTCATAATGGATTGCTGAATCGTGCCATCGGTATTACAGACACTTCGTGTCCTTCATACCTTTGGCACTTATAAAGGCAATCTGATATAGCATAAAATTATGATACCCTGGAATGGATTCATGCGTGGTAATAATGCCTAGGAATAAATGATGTTAATCTTATCTATAACGCTTAGGGGGTTCTTTTTAGCTATCAAGTAATAACATATCGGGAATCAAGGTTAGGTGGTCTGGGGATAGAAAAACAGGTATAGTGTTATCATATCAGAAAACAAGGCTAGGTGGTCTGGGGGTACACTAAATTATGGTTAGACCTATGTGATAGCCGCTGTCCCAGAACCCCCAAGTTTGCCCTACTATTGTTCACTCTTCCGATATCCTTCTTATGGCGCCCACGCACGTTGTGATGGATCAGGCGATAGCAAAAAGATCCTTATCTTCTTTAATGATCAGTACGATTATAACAATTGTGTCAGCTCCCCACGTGCAGATCTTCTCAATTTAGCCTTTACTCATTATTCCCCTGCAGATGTCAAACTCAATGACGAAGCGAAGTCTTTGTTTGTTACTGACATCCCACTTTTCCTAAACGAAACGCAAGTCTGCCAAGCATTTTCCCGATATGGCACTGTGATTAAATGCAAACTCACCCCTAAAAAACATTACTACAATGGTCATATCCAATTTTCCTCCGCGGATGCAATTACCCAATTCAATGATATTTGGGCGATCATTTGCCTTGGTAATTCTTTACGTGTCTACCCGGCTTCTTTTTCGAAATCCCAATGTGATAGCCGCAGAGAACATGTTGCTATTCTTGCCAGCATTCCAAAAAATATTAAAGAGGCCGACCTTCTAGAAATGTCTTCTTATGTTAATGCTAAAGCCCTTAACGTTCCACTATCTATCAACTCTTACAAGCCTAAACCCTATGCATATTTAAATTTCTCTTCATATGACACTCTTGAGGCTGCGAAAGTAGGGATTGGAATCGATTATCATTATTAGAATTGATTTTAAAATCGATTAATCGCGATTAATCGTTTCGCAAAATTTTGATTCTATAATTTGATTTTCGATTTTTGATAATCGGATTTATACTTCAAAAACAATACTATTTTATGGCGCTAGCATCTTGTTAAACGTTTTAATGAACTTTTTATTTTCTATAATTTGTAATTATAGAATTTTTTTATACTTAAAATAATGTATTTTTTATATTTTAAATTTAAAATAATGAATTTTAAAACTTATTTTTCGGTGTAACAGATAAATTTGATGATGATCATTTAATAAACTACTTTTATTATCAATACTGCTATAGGTGTCATCGAAATTAATTACGGATTTTACCATGATTACGGCACGTGCCGCATTGCCGACAGTAAAAACTGTAAAATTTTATTACAGCAAAAATTCAAAATATACAGGACACTTGAGAATTTTGATTGTCGGGTCCAGGTTACTCGGCAGTAGGTTATTATATAATCTGATATACTACTATTACATTCATGTCACGTGTTATTTATAAAATAACCTATTGCCGAGTAACCCGGCTACCCAACAACCCGACAATCAAAATTCTCAAGTGTCCCGTATATTTTGAATTTTGTTGTAAGGCATTAAGTTCGGCCAGAGTTAAATGATCTTCGTGATAATTTCCTTTTTTGGAATATGGTGTAACCATTGTGTAACTCGATTCTCCATTTTTGATGGGAAGAAAAATTTCCTTTTTTGAAATTTTGTGTAATGTCACATGATATAACAACAAAATTCAGCCGGCATTACCGGCATTACCGGCATTATAAACCTATTTACGGCATTACGGATAATTTACGGATTTCGCCGAATTAATTACGGTATAGCCGAAATGCCAAAATTCATGAATTTCGACGACAAGTATAAATTTCGATTTTTGTTCGATAATCGATTTAAAATCGATTCTTATCGATTTTTGATAAATTCGATTATTGTAAAATCGATTCCAATCCCTATGCGAAAGAAATAACCGTAGCTTTCCATGGCAAAGGATTGACGTGGCACCCTCCCAATGAAGCACATACTTTATGCCATGTTTGTGGGCGTCCTGATTGTTCACCTTCTGTTTGCAATCCTCGTTCTACACGAAAAGTAGATGATCGCCTTAACAAACTATATTCACGCTTCAATGCTGGTTCTCGACGTGGTCATCAGGATTCGTGCCAATCGCGTAATAAATCCAATTCCCATTCAAGATCATGATCTAATTCTAGATCCCGCAATAATTCTTCTTCATTCCGATCCAATAATAGTAATAACTGTACTATTAATTCTCATCCTAATACTTCTCGTAGTAACAACCAATCCAACAACAATCAGAATTATAGCATTCCCAGTAACAATAGTTCTTCTTTCAGTTCTATTCAACCTCCACCTGAACCTCATCCTAATAACTCTACACATACTGCTTCTCCTGACAATTCTACCTATACACTTTCTCAACATATCATTGATGAGTTAAAGGCACAAATCAAAGAGATTGCTACTACCCTCAAATCTCTTGATGAAACTGTTTCCTGGATGCAGGATACTATCACGCATCATGATTATAGAATATCTGAGCTCGAAACAATGATGAATTATGATAACAATAATCCTGGTGACTCAGATTTGTACCCACCTCATAATGATCAAGATAACCATTCTTATGATAATGGATGAGATGATGTCTCAGCCCATGACACGAATTCTGGATTCAATCTCCCTTCTCATACTTCACCTTCTCTTATGGACACTTCTCCTGATGCTTCCTTTTCAACTTTGGATCCTAACTCCGTCCTATCAAGACGACATGTCCTCTTACCTAACTCTCGACCTACTATTATTGCCCCTGATGCTAATGCTTCCCGTTTGCAATTGGAAATTTCTAATGTCACTAATACACAAAAGAATCTTTCTGCCCAACTTGATTCGATTATGGATAAATTGGACTTCTTCTCCCCCTCAAAACCCTCCCCTTCTAATAATTGAACACCAACTTAATTTGGGTGATTTACAGGGATTTCACCCCCCTAATAGTGCAAAACCTGATAATAATAGTCTTAATAATCCTTCCTCTCCCTCTTTTTCTTCCCCTCTTATTAATTTTGGACAAATTAATGTTAATGGTTTGTGCTCTCCCGTTCGACAATTGCATTTGTTAAATTATTTTCTCCATTCTTCTTTTGGCATTTTATCTTTAAATGATACTCGTCTTACTTCTTCTGGTGCTAAATTTATTTATCAAAATGAACATTCCCAACATAATTTTAAGTCCTATTGGGCCCCTTCCCCTTCTAATTCACGACCTCATGATGGTGTTGGTCTTTTACTTCGTCATCCTTTACATAAACATGTTCAGAAAATTGATCCTTGGAAAGGTCGTCTTTTAAAATTAGATCTTTTTTTTCATCAGACAAAAATATCTATTATTTCAGTTTATATTCCTCCTTATCATTCTATTCATTACAAAGAATGTGATGCTATTGTTGCCCAACTCAATTTATGGCTTGATAAAACCCGTTCTAATAATTATCATGTAGTTATTCTTGGTGATTTTAATGCAGATGAAATTTCACATTCACATCTTTCTCAACATCATTTGAAAATTTTACGATCACTTTCTTCTCGATACTTTACGGATCATCAATCCCATATTTCTTCAATTTCAGGTCCAAGTCCTATCTTTTATCATCAGAATAGTTCTTCAAGACTTGACTATATTTGGTCATCCCCTGGATTTCCTGCTCCCGGTCTTTTCTCTCATGTTGAATCTTGTCCTAAGTTGAATGATAATCAATTTACTGATCACCGTGTGCTTATAACAGCCTTTGATTTTAACTCTTGTTTCGCTACTCTAGCTAAAGCTAGATTAAAACAAAAAAGCGAACAACGCACCATTTTTCTTTACAAAAATATCAAAGAGGATTCTTGGATGACATTTTCCAATGAAGTCAACTCACGTCTTGAATTGTATTTGGCGACACATTATCCCTCCATATCTTCACTTTCAGCCCTTTCTTTGGATAAACTTTGGCACGCTCTTAAACGTTCTATTCTTGGTAGTGCCATTGATTCTCTACCATTTCAACATGTATCCAATACTCACCATCATAAATATCCTCCTGAGCTTACTATGCTTATTGCTATCAACAAATTCTTGGATAGATTATTGTTTAAATTGACCACATCTAGGCCTAGTCGTCCTGTTCAAATTTCACAAATGATTAATTCTTTACCTACCCAATTAATCCTTCTTAAATCTCTTTTAACAGATTATACTATACCTTCTTATAGTACAACACCACTTCCTACTTTTGTCAAATTTTTGCGTTCACAAAAAGCTTTGGTCTCAGCTTATCTTTCCACGCAATTTCATCAGCATCGTGTAGATTCCATTGAATATTATACTGCTCTTAGAGATGAACATTTCTCTACGTTAGAGGTGCGCTCTGGATGAATCTAGTCAATCCATCATCCGGATGATCACGTGACGGATCAATTTGGATTAAAAAAATCGGATCATAGGATTATCCGCAGATTGACCGGATTGATTATAATTCTGGCCGGAATTAAGTAATCGGCATGGAATTATCCTTTTTAGGGTATGAGTAACATTACACAGATCCAAAAAAAGGCAATTTTGTTTCCCAGCAAAAATGAAATTTGGGTTTCACAAGAATCCTAAAAAGCAAATTTTTTGCCGATCATTCATTTCAGCCGGAATTTATGATTAGGTATTTAATTGTTGTCACGTGACTAAACGGATATGTCGATCGTTTCCATATTTGGCGATACCCATTCCACAAAAAACCAGTTTTTCTAAATTTAGTTTCCAGTCATGTAACATAAAATTTACTAAAAAG